AAGATCTTATGCGTGATCACGCCTAAGTACAACACATAGTAGGAAAATTGAAAATTGCAAATAAGTCATCCGGAGTAAAATTGACAATTTAAAAAATGTGAGGATTTAATTACAAATGGAATATTGGGTTAGAGAATTAAAGAAGGGTGGGGGCAATTGAAGAGGAGAAAATAATGCATCATCACGTAAGCAATCCACGACAAGTATAAGGTAGGAGAAGAGAACACAAATGAAGAACAATGCAAAGAATTCACAAGAGCAACGTAGACTAAACTTCCGGGTATTTCTTTCTTCATTCTTAGAATTGATTTGTTATCGAATCTTAAAATTAAAGGCATGGTAAAATCCTTGATTTATCTTGTGTTTTCAATTTTTATAGATTGTGAGTAATTTTATTTTTAGCATAGGTGTGATTTGATATTTGCGATTGAATTTGTGAAACTTTGTTTTGTTTAATTTGGTGCTAATTGATGTTGCGTATTTTTAATTTTTCTAATTTACAACTTTAGAAATCTTAAATTGATTATTGTGCACGCACTAGTTTGAAATTTCGTAGCTATATTGGAGATTGATACCCATAACTATGTAATCTTTCAATTGGTGTAGCAACTTACATGAAGAATACTATAGAGAAGAATTAAAATCAATTTTGAACAAGTCATCGTAGAAATCTTGTTAAATTGAATTGAGTTTTTCTAGTTCTTAATGTTGTTGAATTAGCAATGCTACGGTAGTACCTAAGATTCTCATTCGATTAGGGACTAGCTAACGGTCGTACCTTAGCTATCGACAAAGTAAGAAAATGTTGGTTGTGAACGTGTGTAGATCAACTATAACCAATTTATCAAACTAGTCAATAAATTTGAATTTTAGTCGATGAACAAATTTCATATCCCGAATAAAAATTTATGCCTATTTTAAAATTTAATTATATTTGGTAAATCGATCATTTGCATTTCAACTTTTTTCATTTAATTGAGAGAATTTTTTATTCTTCTTTAGTTTATAGTCATAAATCAAATCCCCCTGTATAGATATATGTATAAAAATATTATAATTATATATAACCAAATAGTCAAGATTCATACTACTTTTTTTTTCTTTTCTTTTTTTTTTCATATTTTTATTCAATTGCAAACTTATTTCTATAATAATATTATTAAAAATAGTCTATTAATTTAGCTGAATGATATGTACTATTTATAATTGAAGTACGGTGACCTAATGAAGAATAAATTATTAAAATAAGGTATTTTAATAACTTAATTACAAATATTATAAAAATAATAAAAATATTATGGATGAAAGGAACCTAATTACAAAAGCGCTGTAAAAATAACAAATTATTACAAATATTAAAAATAAAAAGAGTGAGTTTACCATATATATATCTATATAATACTTTTTTACATTCACAAAAGTTTTTAATTATATTATTGGTGGTGAAAAATGCATACCATGTAGTTTATTTTTGTGAACTAATATTTTTTTGTTTTATATTCAGAAAAGTTTTGTAATTATATTATTGATGTTAAAAAATATACATATCATATAGTTATTTTGTGAATTTCGAATGGGTGGATCCAGCCCTTTTTTAAATTATTATTATTATTATTATTATTATCATTATTTTTAAAGCAGCAGCAACAACAATGATAATTCGTATGCTAACATATATGTGACATCGTATGAGGACATGTACAGATACATATCAAGAGACAAAGATTCAAATTTTACCTAATTAATAAATAAATGTGAAAATTTTACTTTAAAAAAAATTGATAGGAAATTAATAATATTATAGATCGAGAGCACGTCAAATCAAATTCATTAAAGAAAACAAATTTGAATTAGTTATCTATTATAGTTATATCATTGTAATTGCAGTGAACTCATATTCGATCCATAAAATTTATGATCCCAAGTATATTGAATATTAAAGTCGATTGGTCGAAAAAAAATGTCATCCATGTTGGTGACCAATAAGAATAATTTTGGGTTTGTTTATTTTAGTGATTTTTCTTAAAAAAATATTTATAAAGTAAAATTATTGTTAAATATCAGTATTTCTTATATATATATATATATATATAGATAGATATAGAAAAAGAGTTAGGTATTGAATTTAATGATTTTGAAAGATTAAAAAATTTAATTACTGAAAATATTAAAAAAATAAATATTTCGCAAACAAATTTCAAAACGGTATTATTAACGAAATTTTCATTAGGAAAAGACATAAAAATAAATATGTTCCTTTTAATTCGATTTCAATTTTTTTTACTATAATATTTTCTTCAATATACATATATATCAAATAAAATATATTAAAATACATATATTGAATAATTAAAAAAAAAATAATCTGGTGTATCTAATATCGATTTTTAGAACTCCCCAATCGCATCAGATCATGTGACGACGGCTACAATGACAGAGATACAGGAAAAAAAATTTGGGAGAAGACATGATAACTTTTTGGTGCAAGATATAATATATGATAATTTTTTTTTGAAGTATTATTTTTATGTGAAATATAAATATTGTCTCGATAATATAAAACTATAAAATTTTATATTAAATGATGACTTTTTATGAGATAATATAATATATATTGATAATTTTTATATCATAGATTAGATTTACAAATATGATATAGATATTAATGACACAGGCTTATACTATAAATAGTCACGTATACTCATTCTAACAAGCAGCCAAAAGGCTCAAATATATAACTTGTGACCTAGCCGCCCTCAATAAATATGTTCTCAATTTCTGCATGTGGACGTAGCCAATACATTGTTGGTGAACCACGTATATTTGTGTCGTCTTTACGTTTTATGTTTGTTATTCGATCATTAACTCTAATCCGTCATCCACAACCATCTCTGAAAAAAAATTAGATTCAACGTCGATGTTTTGAATTAAGTTTAAGTTTAAATAAATCATGAATCATCTCTGCACATTCTCATATTTCTATTGAAATGTTCTACAAATATACATTATTTATTATTATTATTATTATTATTATTATTATTGCGCTCCCATATTGCTAGTATGTTTTTTTGCACGCTTTTTTAGATTTTGAGTTTTATTTAATTGGTATAAATTATTTTTAAATATTAATAAAATACACAGTCTTAAATATAAAGATATGATTTTATTTCATAAAAAGTTAAATCAAAATACTAATTATATCCATACACCTAAAAATAAATAATCTAACTTAAATACAAACTAAACAAAATGTTAATTTAAATATACTTAGATGTAGTCTATTGTGAATAAAATAATCTATTTTATGAAAATTTGTGAGTAAAAAAGTCTAAATAAAGATTGGAAGAAGAACACATCATATTTTTCACAAACAAAATAAATAATTTTATTGATATTATTATTATTATTATTCATCGATAGCAATTATTAAATGATGAAACTATTTTGGGATGCATAGTTACAATTATAAATATATAGTTAAGAATCAGAATATTCAAATACCATATAATAACTTTTAGACAACACCATTGTCATTGCTGTTTGGAGCTGAATTATTTGTATAATAACTTTTAGACAACACCATATATTTGATACAATATTTTTAATTTTATTGATGACAAAATTATTTGTATAATAATATTATTAATAGTAATCTTTTAATTCATTAGCTGAATGATATGTAGTACTATTTATAATTGAGTATCATAGCCTAATAAAGATTAGATTATTAAAATTAGGTATTTTAATAACTTAATTACAAAAATTATAAAAATTTTATAGATGAAAGGAACTTAGATACAAAATTATTGTAAAAATAAATTTTTGCCAATTTTATAGATGAAAGGAGTTAGCTTATTATATATATAATATACATTTTTTATATTCATCTATATATATATATTTATCAATTGGGAACCCGCAGTCGTTATCCGAAAGTGCGCACTGGGTAAAATATATTTTAATTGTATTATTAATGTTAAAATATACCTATCGTACAATTTTTGTATGAATTTAGTACGATTAGATCTAGCTTAAACAAAATTTCTGGAGCCAGTTGTTTTTATTATTTTTTTTATATATATATATTTCATATTTTTTATATCTTAAAAAAAATGGAGTAAAATGACTAAAAATATATAAGATCAACTCTTAAACACTAGTGTGAAATCTAAGTTTTATTTTTTATTTTTTAAATAAAATTATATATAGTTAAAATTAAATAAAACTTGTTATATCTAGAATTCAAAATTTTCTCTCCGGAAGGCATATGAGGAAGGCTAGTCGAAAGATTGATGAAGGGGTCCCTAAACTACTGAAAGAAAAATGAAAATAGATGATGTTCCGACAACAAACAAATACACTACTCAAAATAAACTTGTATTATTTGACGATAATCCTAAACAAATCATAAAAATGATTAAAAACAAAGGAGAAAAGGGTGCGATTATTTTGAAAAATTGAATTATAAGACCTAGATTATTTCTATGGATTAAATAATCATAAGATTAATTAATATAATATTTACTTTATTTGATTAAATATAAGATAACATAAACTTTAGTATAAATATTACTTGAATTAATTATTCTTAATTAGCGTATTAGTATAGCGAGCTTTAATTAATACGAGACTTTAATTTATTATAGTAAACATGTGATTAGGGTGTATAAAATAATATTATAAACCCTAATAATTCAAAGTAAACACACCTAAGTTGCTGACTTAATTCCTCTTTATGCGCACCTTTCCACATACTCGTTAGGAAGGTTGTTGGGGTTTTAACCATATTTGTCTCCTTCGGATCAGTTTTTCTTTCAAAATTAGTCTCAGTTCCACCCACATATTGAAATTCACCATTAGGCTGACTAACCTATATTTTATGTTCAATGATATGCCATCTGTTAGGAATTTTGGCTGTTCGAGGTCTAATTCGACAAGTCCTTCGATAAATAATTAGTTGACCCACTCCGTAGCCCGACCCATCAGATCGGCCCAACCATTTAATCTTAAAACCAATATATCCAAAATCGATTTAGTTAGGGGTTTGTTAGGTGGTTGATTTTGAATATAACCCGTGTGTATATCTATTTAGATATAAAATATGAGATTGGGAGTTTTAGGTTGGAGTTCAATCTGTGAGTTTTTCGTGAGTGATTCCGGTGAAAGTCGAACCTTTCCAATGGATGATTCCGGTGGGTGTTGAGGCTTGGTGTAAAGATGCCGACCTCCACCTTGAAGCCGTGGTTACCATAGGCCATCGCGCACCATGGGGCTGAGCAAAAAACCGCCGTCTATTTGCTGGTGTGCTGAATCAGAGTTTTTGGAAGTCGTCGGAGCTGTTTATGTTCGTCGTCGTTCGCCGGAGAAGACTGGAGGAGCAGTTGCTGTTCAGAGGTGCTGGAGCGCCGCTAGTCGGATTTGTTCTGAAACCGCCGCCACTGGACCGCCGAAGGAATATCACGTTGCCGGAGAAGACAGCCGCGTCATCTTCCGGAGTTCATCTTCGTTGATTTCGTCGGTCGTTCTCGTCGCTGAAATAAGAGCTCGAACAGGAAGTGTATGCTGCTTTTTGATTTCAAATATTCAATTAAGGCTTTGTTTTCTTAATTGATTTTTGGGCGTGTTTGTTTTTGTTTATTTTGATTTTTAGTTTTTTCCTTTTCTTTAATGTGTTAATTTCATTTTGACTTTGATTTAGTTTAATTTGGGTTTATTCGAATTTCGCTTTCGCTACTAATTGATTCGTATTTTGTATACGATGTTTGTTTGATAAATCCAAAGAATTCGGGAATAAATTCACAACAGTGATATTAGAGCCCGGAAACCGATTCCGAAATTAAGAATTATTTGGTTCGAGTTTGGTAAGACTCGAATCGTGGTAAAAGGCTAAACCCTCAACTCTCTAATTTCGGTATATATTAATCTTGGTGAATTTTGGTGAATCTTGGTGAAATTTTTGTTAAATAATATGTTGAATTTCTTTGTGTTGGTTGGCTATGCATTTGTTGGTGTTTGATTGACTATATGTTTCTTGGTGCTTAGATGGAATAATCTTGGAATATATTGGTCTTTCTTTGATATTCTTGAAAAATATCTTGGATATTATTTTTCGGTTCCTTGATTATATTTTTGTTATGTTTCTTGGGTTATGTTGATAGCCGTGTGAATTTTTTGTACTAGCCCAATTATTGTAGTAGATGCATGTTTTTATCTTCTTTGTGTGTTAGATATGCATGCTTTAGTTTTTCTCTGTGAGATAGAAAATTTCATGTTAGGTGTTAATTGGACAATGCCTAAAAAGAAGGAATAATTGGAGGATAATCAAGAATAATTAAGTTTGTGGCATTATGTGATTTCTTGATGTTAATGCATAATTCTTGATTTGTATACTATGTGATTAGTTGTTTGTTATATCTTGTTTTGATTGATCACTTTGTGATTACGCTCCTGGGTTTTCTCAGTGGTAATGCTCGATCGAATTAGGTGCTTAGTGTTTTGCTTTCCGTCTAGTCGCTTAATGTTCTTCTAGGGTTAGCTTTGTTCCTAGTTGCTGAGTGTTCCTCTAGGTTTCGTCCTAGTTGTTTAGTGTTCTTCTAGGTTTCCTCCTAGGTTGCTGAGTGTTATTCTAGGTAGGATGTCTGAGTGGTTGTGTATCCGGAGATCTGAGTGATAGTGGTCAATCGATCCAGGTTCTTAGGTTGTGCTTAGCCCATAAAGGTGTATGCTAGAGCCGTAGAGTTTAGTGCCTAAGGTTTTCTTTGTGTTTAGTGTTGTGTGTTCTCTAGTAGATGTCAAATAAGGTGGAGCTCCTATTATGTGATTCTTTGTTTTTTATATTTGGCATGTGTTTGCTTTCCTTTGTGTATATGCATGTATGTTGTTCAATTGTGTAGTATTTGTGCTCTTTGTGCTAGGTTGCTATGTGATCTATCTTGGTGCATGTTATGATCTATGTGTTCTATATGTGGTATATTTTTTCTTCATTAAAGTTTGTTTGTAGATGCTGCGAGGGACAAAAGACAATGATGAAATCCATTGGTGCTAGGTAAGTCTATATATAGTAAATACGTATTTGGGATTTGGTTAAATCACGATCAATATAGGTGGAGATTGTTGGAAATTTTGACCGTTCGAGGCCTAACTCGACAAGTCCTTCGATAAATAATTAGTTGGCCCACTCCGTAGCCCGACCCACTAAATCAGCCCAACCCTTTAATCCTAAACTTATATATCCCAAACCGATTTAGTTAGGGGTTTGTTAGGTGGTTGATTTTGGATATAACCGTGTGTATATCTAATTAGATATAAAATGTGAGATTGGGGGTTTTAGGTGGGAGTTAGTTTTGAGAGTGTTACAATCGGATTAGAGAGAGGGTGAGAAAGAGAAGATCGAACTCTGAGTTTTCCGGTGAGTGATTCCGGTGATAGTCGAACCTTTCCAATGGCCGATTCCGGTGGGTGTCGAGGCTTGGTGTGAAGATGCCGACCTCCACCTTGAGGCCGTGGTTACCATAGGCCATCGCGCACCATGGGGCTGAGCTGAAAACCACCGTCTCTTTGCTAGTGTGCTGAATCGGAGTTTTCGGAAGTCGTCGGAGCTGTCTATGTTCGTCGTCGTTCGCTGGAGAAGACTGGAGGAGTAGTTGCTATTTGGAAGTGACGGAGCGCAGCTGGTCGGATCTTTTCGGAAACCGCCGCCGCTGGACCGCCGGAGGAATATCACATTGCCGGAGAAGACAACCGCGTCATCTGCCGGAGTTAATCTTCGTCGATTTCGTCGGTCATTCTCGTCGCTGAAATAGGAACTCGAACATGAAGTGTCTGCTGCCTTTTGATTTCAAATATTCAATTAAGGTTTTGTTTTCTTAATTGAGTTTTGGGCGTGTTTGTTTCTGTTCACTTTGATTTTTAGTTTTGCCCTTTGCTTTAATGTGTTAATTTCATTTCGATTTCGGTTTAGTTTAATTTGAGTTTATTGGAATTTCGCTTTCACTACTAATTGATTCATATTTTGTATACGAGATTTGTTCGATAAATCCAAATGATTCGGGAATAAATTCACAACACCCTCCACAAAAAAATAGAATGTAAAACCATGATGATTACACACAATTTTGCACTATATTTTTGGACAAAATTTCCAACGTTGTTGCATTTCTTGCACAAAGTGGGGATATTATCATTTTTGTTACTTAATTCAAAGTCATTCCATTTCTTAAAATACCACCAATTCTTCTCCCTTTAACCATCATGTCCACTTCCTCAGCACTTCTTCTACACAGATGGTATCTGAGAAGTCTCAGTACCCCAGCAGCGTCACTCCTACCTATGGTTCTTCCTTAAACCCTTGCAACTTCCCGCTTCTGATCGGCAATCATCCAACGATTTCGACCATAGAAAATCCACATTCTCCACTGTGTCTCCTTTGTTTTGGCGAACCAGGTATCTTACCTTTCCATAGCCAATTAATGCGGACACTGTTACCCAAAGAGATAGCTTTTTGGAGTAAGGTACCTTTTCCTTAACATAAGTTAAATATTTTTCATCTCAGTTTAACTTTTTACCTGGACTATCTTCTTATTTTGATTCTTAGGTGTCTAAATTAGAGTCGGCCTTCGGCTATCTGTGAACTGAATGAGGTATTTATTATATATCTATGTATGAATCTCTTTCTCTATCATAATAAACTTATTAAGACTATATTAAATTTCTGGGATTTCAATATGTCTCATTTTCCACATGAGTCATGGCCCCAAAATGTATCACATAGAAAAATAACTCCAAGTAAAATAATATGATACAACACAATACGTATGTTATTTAATAATTTTTTATTTATATTTTTCAAAAGATTAATGTCTATTGTGGTTCTAGATCTTTTTATGTTCTTATAAATAAATATTCAACACAAACCAACAAATTTTTTATCCTTTTATTATTGTTATTTTTATTTTTATAGTTCAACGGATTACTTATAAACATTAATACATATTTCTAAATTTTCATATATAGCACCAAATCTAATCACCATAAAAAAAAAATAATTATTACAAAAGATCAATTATATTCAACCATTTTTGTGATGATGATGATTATTATTGTCGTTGTTAATATTTTGTGTCACATTGGCTCTCTTTAGTTGGTATTTTTTAATTATTTTATATTTAGTGATTGATTTGAATATTTTTTTGAATGTGATTTTATGTGAGAGGAAAATGTAACATGTTTTTTTTAAAAAATAGTAAGAATTATCTAATAAAAAAATAACAAATAAACAAACTAATATTTTTTAGAAATCTTTTACATATATATGGGGAGCTGCTAAATAGGCAGATTCTACCCATGACAGAATATTAATTAAGATAATAAAAGATTATTCTATCATTTTTAGTAAATGTAAATTTAACAGTTCATTTTTTTACTTTTTATGCGAATAAATATTACTTTTCATTGAGAATATAATTTTTTTATTATTATTACAAATAGCATTCATATATATATTTATTTTTTTTAACAATGTATTCTACTTTTTTCAATAGAATTAACAATTAATTTTTTAGTTTTATTTCTTCTGTTTAAATTAACACTTCCTTCTTCAATTTTAAAATATCAATATGAATATCAATATAGCAAATAGTATATATGATATTTAGTTGTGATTTATAAAAAAATAATATATTAATATGAAAATTTTCAAGCAAGACGGCATTGTGAATGAATATATTAAAAAACAATCAATTTATATTGAGTTTGTTAGTAAATGTATTGATTTTTTCTTTCTTCTCTGAATTTTTTTTTACCACATATACATATTTTTCTTCTCATTTTAGGAAGGATTGATTGCGAAACCCACCAATAATGAATTTTTCTTGTAGTAATTTATATTATCTGACAATATAATGTAATTGCCTATATATATATATATATTGTATAATAAATTTATATTATGTGACAAAATATAATTAATTAAAAATAAAGAGAATTTTTTTAGATGAATGTGAAACAATTGATTATTTAATGTTAGTAATATTTTAGATTAGTAGAAAGTAAGAAAGAAAAATAGTTAGATTATTTTTTGGAGAATTGTTGATGAAAAGTAGGAGGCAAAAATATATGAATAAGATTAGAGATATGTGAAAAATATTATTAAAAGAAAAAGAAAAAAACTACATAAATTTCTAAAAATAAAATTATATTTAAGTAGTATATTAAAATGAATAAGAACAAAAAAATAAAAAATATCATATAATTTTTTTTCAAAATATAACTAAATACCATTTTACTTTCAATTAAGATTAAAAAAAATATATATTTTAAATTATTGATATGAATTTTACAGTAAAAAATAAAATAAAATCAATATATAATAGCTTAAAAAAATATACTGGTCCAAAAAACACTACTTGTTGATACTAATAAATATAAAAAAATATATTACTCGAAGAATAAAATAAAATTTTAATAACGAGCAAAATTATCAATTTAAGTAAAATATTATTATATATTAAAAATAATAATATTAAACCATAAACATATATTAATAAACTATCTATGCAATTATATGCAATCTGATATTCATAAACTATGCAATTAATATATATATATATATATATCTTGTTTTTATAAGTAATCATTATTGACAAAATTTATAAATAATTATCCAAAAATTTATGATAAATTGATAATATAAATAAAAATTTTTAGTTAAGGGTATAAAAGTCTTTTCTTACTACTAATTTTTTTTATTAAGTATCTCATATATATATATATATATATATATTCAACAACAATAATAATAGTAAAAATAAGTACAGTCTCACATTACTATATTGTTCACAAACATATATAACAACAAAAAATTTATTATTTCCATATATCGTTATTGTTTTTATTCCAAATGATCCATAAAAAAATTATCAAATTAATTAAAAAATTAATATGGTATACATAGTTGGAACATTAATTAATACATGTGTAGTTAAATTAAACATCGAACATTATATTGGACTATTAGCGGACGACAGGAGCTTACGGTCCTCACCGTTGCCATTAATATTATTGTCTGGAAGTCCATTAATATTTAGGGTGTGTTTGTGCGGAGTTTGGATTTTGAATTGAAATTTGAATGGTAAAGATTTTGAATTTGAATAGTTGTATGATGTGATATAAATAGGTGTTGATGTAATATTTTGAATATAAAATTGATTTTTAGTATAATATAAAAAATGAAAAATAGGCGTTTAATTTGATGTTTTTGAAAAAAAAAAAAAAGGGATGAATAGTGTATTTATAATTCAATCCCCCAAACAAACACACCCTAACTGTACGGGTATGGATTAGTTTTACGGGTGAACTGCCCTGCACTGATCCTGTGGACTGCGGTGAACGACCTCGGGTGTAGTTGTGGCCAGCGACGGAATCAGAACGAGAATAAATGAGACTAAATTTTATTTTTTGAAAATTTTATATACTGAAAAATCGGTATGATAAAAGTATATATTGATATTGTACCAAAATTTTGATAATATATACCATTTCATATCCAAATACTAAAATTTAAAATATTAATTTTGGTATTAATACATTAAATTATTTATATATACAAATATATTCAAAATATCAAATTATATATTAATATCGTTCTAATATGATATTAGATCACATCAAAAATTTAATATACTGTACTAAAATTTCAGTAATTTTTAAAATTGTTGGATCCTAAAATTTGGAGGTTCCAAGAATGTTCGTCGATTTGTCGGTGTGGGTTCCGAAAATACTCCAAAGAGCCTGTCCGTCGTCGGATTGGAGACGGCTCCTTCAGTGGAGCCTGCACGGCTTCGATCTTACACGAGGCTTCGAGCCTAAACGACCGATTTCGATGGATTTAAACTAACATCTACTAAAACTCGGATAAGTCTACTGGAAAGCGGATAAAAATATGTTAGAAACATAAAGCCATGTAATTCGAATTAAAATACCTAAAAACGAAACTAGAAAATGAAAAAAAAGAGAGAAAAATACGAGTTGATCTTCTTGTGCGTGTGTATGATGTTGTTTTTTTCCTAGTTTAATCCTAAGCTAGAATAACCACATCTCCCACTAAAAGAGGCGGTTACAATTATTCTTCTACAACTCTCAACTGCCTGGTAACCTCCCACTACTACCTCCAACTTCCTGGTAACCTCATTCCACTACCTCATAACCAACTGGTAACCTCCTTCCATCAGCTCTCGGTAACCTCCTTCCAAAAGCTCCTAACCACCTGGTAACCTCCTTCCATCAGCTCCCTGGTAACGTCCTCCCATCAGCTCCTAACCACCTGGTAACCTCCTTCCATCAGCTCCCTGGTAACGTCCTTCCATCAGCTCCTAACCACCTGGTAACCTCCTTCCATCAGCTCTCAACCGCTTCCATTGCCTCTGGATCGGGTTCCACTTGCTCTGAACTTCTTCCATTGCCTTTGAACCAGATCTATTGCTTACTCCGACTTGTTTCCATCGTACTTCTAGCCGGTCTACGGGGATGTATCCCAACAGCCTCGAGTTAAATGGAATCTTTGGTTTTCCTCTTGTTGGTTTGTTCCATGGAGCTTTTTGAATAAAGTATGAAAGTGCATAGGCCCTCCACTTATGTTAAGTACGAAATTATTAACCCAGGGCCAACAGAGGTAGTTATCCCATGATCTCTGGAAACTGTTGCTTTCTATCTTGTGGAGGCAACCTTCCTCTACTTTGTGGAAGCACCGCAGTCCAATGAAGGTAGTTGTTTTCAATCCAATGGAGACAACACTTTCTGACCTTATGGAAACATTGTTCCGGGATGGAATCGCCATAGTCCAAGGAGTTGTTGCCCTAAGGTCCATGGAGGCTGCTGCTTTTGGCCCTGTGGAAGCACCACAATCTAATGGAAACTGTTGCCTTCGGCTTTGTGGAGGCAGCAGTCTTTGGCTCCGAGGCTTGAAGCTCCATTGCTGTTGAACGGCTCCGTGGCCAATGAGCTTTGACACTACTTTTGTCTTTGAGCCTTCTTCTCATTCAGGTGCTTTTGGACTCATGTCCAACAATGTCCTCCTTAAAAGGGCTGGGCAATTGCTTCCATTGAGCCCATGTCCTTTTGCTTTGAGCCGTTCACTTGAATCAATTGTGGTAACTTCTATCGACAAGGGATCCTCCACGGCTTTCACTTCTTGGACTTCATTTCCATCACAAAACATCAACATTTGATGGAGTGTCGAAGGCACACACTTGCATGCATGAATCCAATTCCGTACCAAGAGAGCCGAATAGAATGGCCTACTGTCAATCACTATGAAATTTGATGATATTTCCTTTGTCCCCACGTGTACATTCAAAGTGATCATACCTGCCGGTTTGTAAGAATTTCCCAGAAAATCAGTAAGCCGTACAAATGTAGAAATCAAATCGTCACTAGTCTTTCCGAACTTCCGTAGGGTCTCAATTGGTAACACATTCATAGAAGCTCCACTGTTCACCAGAACTTGGTCAAACGGATAGCCATTCATCGATACCCGAATGTGCAAAGGTTTGACATGTTGGTTTTGGCCAGGCCCGAGCCTCTTAAATTCTATAATCGTTGCCACGTCATTCCATTCAAATATAGGCTCTTCGTCAACGACAACTTCCTCTAACTCTTGAACTTCTTCCGGAGGCTCCTCTACTTGTTTCCTTTTAAGAAAGGACTTCATAGCCTGGTTCCTTAGCGGCTCCAAAACCTGTTTTCTTTCTGAAAACGGCTCCACAACTTGCTTCCTTTCTGAAAGCGGCTCCAGAACTTGCTTCCTTAGCGGTCCCACAGCCTGCTTTATTTCCTGAAGCGGCTCCACAGCCTGTTTGTTCTCTGAAAGTGACTCCATAGCGTGCTTCCTTTCTGAAAGCGGCTCCACAGCCTGCCTTCTCTCTGAAAGCGGATTCACAACTTGCTTCCTTACCAGCTCCATGACTTGCTTTCTTTCTGGAAGCGGCTCCACAACCTGCTTTTTCTTTGAAAGCAGCTCCACAGCCTGCTTTCTCTCTGAAAGCGGCTCCACAGCCTACTACCTTGGCAGCTTCAAGGCCTGCTTCTTTGGCGTCTCCATGGCCTGCTTCCTTGGCGGCTCCATGGCCTGCTTCCTTAGCAGCTCTGCAGCCTGCTTTCTTTCTGGAAGCGGATCCATAACTTGCTTCCTTTCTTGAAGTGGCTCCACAGTCTGCTTCCTTGGCAGCTCTATGTCCTGCTTCCTTAGCAGATCTGCAGCCTGTTTTCTTTTTGGAAGCTGCCCCATAGCCTGCTTCTTTTTTGGAGGTGGCTCTATGGCCTGCTTCATTTCTAGAAGCGGCTCCACGACCTGTTTCCTTAGCAGCTTTGCAGCCTGCTTTCTTAGCGGCTCTGCAGCCTGCTTTCTTTCTGGAAGCGACCCTATAACCTGCTTCTTTTTTGGAGACGGCTCTTCCATCTGCTTTTCTTTTGGAGACAGTTCATGTGATCTTTTCTCCTCCTTACGAGCCTCCAACTTTCTTCTTTGAGCTCGCCTCTTTTGAGTTTTGGTGAGTCCCATTATTGCCCCCCTAGTGGAAAGCTTCGGCTCATTCACAATCCATTTTTCATTCTCTTTCATGATAGGAGGCTTCCGTGTCACCTTGGAATGATGGTGATCTGGTCAGCCGTGGTAACAGTCCAAATCCATTTCCCATTTGTGACTTTCACTTCTGCTACGATGGCCTCCGACTTGGGTCCTTTGTATACTATCTTATTCTCCAATCCTAAGGCTTTCGGACTTGGAATGGTGACACCGACATTAAGCTCTTTCTTGGCCGTCTTTGGTAGTGCCTCCTTCATGTTCAAACTTGAGCTTTTACCAAATATCATTCTTGTAACGACGACTTCTTTAACGGCGCCTTCAGTCCTAGATTATCTTGAATTGAAGGTTTTGACGGCTGGGTGTGAAGCCCGTCTTTTATAGGCCTTTTAGCTGACATAATATTAGCAAAAGGAATAAACCCTTTGGTCGGCTTCAATGCCGAACATAAATAAGTCTTTCCATTTGCTAATTTTGTGGCCAAAGCTTTTGCCTCCGCAAAGTCCTTTTCGTCTGAAGTTGCCAGGGCTTCTACCCCTGCAGGCTCCTTTTCGTATAGAACCTCCATAGCCTCTGGAGTCTCTTCCTCTATAGCCTCCTTCCCGTATGGAGCCTCCATGGTCTCTGGAACCTGTGTCCCTGCGGAATCCTTTTCATATGGAGCCTCTGCCCTTACATCCTCCTTTTCGTTAGGAGCCTCAATAGTCCCTGGAATCTTTGCCAGTGCAAATTTTGGAGCTTCCATGGCTCCTGGAACCTTTGCTTCCGCAGATTCCTTTTCGACTGGAGCTTCCACAGCCTCTGGAGTCTCTGCCCTCGCAAACTCTGGAGCTTCCATGGCTTCTGGAACCTCTGCCTCCGCAGAATCCCTTTCGACTGGAGCCTCCACAGCTTCTAGAGTCTCTGCCTCCACAAAATCTGGAACTTCCATGGCTTCTGGAACCTTTGCCTCCACAGATTCCTTTTTGACTAGAAACTCCACAACATCTGGAGTCTCTGCTCCTGCAACTTCTTTTTCATATGAAGGTGAATTTTTCGCGCTCAAATTGGCACTAGGCTTCTTTTAAAACCTTCTTTTTGAAAATGCCCTCCTTATGCAATCTGCGATGACATCAACGTCCATTAAAGGCTTGGCCTCTCGTTGATTTTGTGTCAGCGGCTGCATTCCGACTACCTGCTGATGGAAGGTTGGCGGTTGCATCTCTGCGGCCTGCCCTCCTTGCCCCTGTGTTTCGATGATCCCCTTTCCATTAGAGATTAGTCACGTCTGAACCGTGACATCCCCATGGTGGTGTTGGCGCATTCCACATAGGTTGTGTGCTTAATCGTCCTGGAGGGATCATGCCAAATGTTGAAAATTTGCTTGCACCTCGTAGAGGCTCAGCACTGCTCTTCAAAACTCCAACGGCCATGGGGTTCCAGCCCTCTGCAGCCTGTTGGCTCCAGTGCTCCGCAGGCTATCGCCAGCCTTTCATAGACTGTTGGCTCCAGCCATCTGCAAACTAGTGGTTCCAGCCCTCTGCAGACATCTTGTTCCAGCGCTCCACAGGTTGTTGGTTCCAACCTTCCCCCAGGCTGGTGGTTCCAGCCCTCCGCAGGATGTTGCCAGCCTTCCACAGGCTGTTGGCTCAAGCCATTCACAGGTTGTTGGAACCAGCCTTTCGCAGACTGGTGGTACTAGCCCTCCGCAGGCTGTTGGTTCTAGCTTACTGCAGGCTGTTGGTTCCTGCCTAATCTTGCATACGCCGGCCCTTAAGGCCTGAAGCATTGGATGTTCTGCAACAATTCCGTAGCTTTTTTCAGGCGGTACAAATGAACCCCATTTCAACCTCAACATCACTCTTCGAAAAATCCGACTTTGGTCCCACTGGGCGTGCCAATTATTGGATCCTAAAATTCATAGGTTCCAAGAATGTTTGTCGATTTGTCGGTGTGGGTTCCGGAAGTACTCCAAAGAGCCTGTCCGTCGTCGGATTGGAGGCGGCTCCTTCGGTGGAGCTTGCACGACTTCGATCTTACACGAGGATTCGAGCCTAAACGACCGATTTCGATGGATTTAAACTAACATCTACTAAAACTCGGATAAATCTACTGGAAAACGGATAAAAATATGCTAGAAACATAAAGCCATGTAATTCGAATTAAAATGCCTAAAAATGAAACTAGAACATGAAAAGAAAATAGAGAAAAATACGAGTTGATCTTCTTGTGTGTGTGTATGATGTGTTTTTTCCTAGTTTTAATCATAAGCTAGAATAACCACCCCTCACTAAAAGGGGTGGTTACAATTATTCCTCCGCCACTCTCAACCGCCTGGTAACCTCCCACTACTACCTCAAACTTCTTGGTAACCTCATTCCACTACCTCCTAACCACTTGGTAACCTCCCTCAATCAGCTCCCTGGTAACCTCATTCCATAAGCTCTTAACCACCTAGTAACCTCCTTCCATCAGCTCCCAACCGCTTCCATTGCCTCTGGACCGGGTCCCACTTGCTCTGAACTTCTTTAATTGCTTTTGGACCAGATCTGCTGCTTACTCTGATTTGTTTCCATCGTACTCCTAGCCGGTCTATGGGGATGTATCCCCAACAACCTCAAGTTAAATGGAATATTCGGTTTTCCTCTTGTTGGCTTGTTCCATAGAACTTTTTGAACAAAGTATGAAAGTGCATAGACCCTTCACTAATGTTAAGTACGAAATTATTAACTCAGGGCCAACGGAGGTAGTTATCCCATGATCTGTGGAAGCTGTTGCTTTCTATCTTGTGGAGACAACATTCCTCTGCTTTGTGGAAGCACCGCAGTCCAATGGAGGTAGTTGTTTTCAACCTAATGTAGACAACACTTTCTGACCTTATGGAAAAATTGTTCCGGGATGGAGTCGCCATAGTCCAGGGAGTTGCTGCCCTAAGGTTCATGGAGGCTGCTACTTTCGGCCCTGTGGAAGCACCATAATCCAATGGAAACTGTTGTCTTTGGCTCTGTGGAGGCAGCAGTTTTTGGCTCCGAGGCTTGAAGCTTCATTATTGTTGAGCGGCTCCGTGGTCAATGAGCTCTGGCACCACTTTTTTCTTTAAGTCTCCTTCTTGTTCAGGTTTTTTTGATTCATGTCCAACAAAAATAAAAAAAATTTTGAGTACAAAAAACATTTTGTATATCAAAATTTGTAATTTTTTTAGTATAAATAATTTTAAAATTATATAAATTAAAATAAAAATATTTTAATCTATAATCTGCATGAAAAAAATTGATGAATATTATTGCCAACACAGTAGTCATTAGACTTCTTTCATATTTTTAATATACATTTGTCATTAAAAAATATATATATAAATTTAATCGTAAAATTATATATTTGTATGATGATAATAATAATACATTGTAATTCAGTAAGTGAAGGATATTTATACTTGAAATATAAATATGGCCCAACAAAAACTAGATTATTAAGATAAGGTATTTTAATCATTTTATTTCCGAAATATTGTAATATAATGTAATATGACAAATATTGTAGATGAAATGTGGCATATTTTATCTTTTCTTATTTTTTTATTTTAATGGAAAATTAATATATAATATTTTATTTTATGATATAAAATAATATTTTTTTCATCCCATATATTATGTTATTGGTTGTAATTTGTGTATTCTCACATCTTATGTCATTTTTTTTTAAAAAAAAATTACACACTTTAGTCATATTTTAGATATTATAATTTATAATTTTTTTTATCTTAATTAAATTAATAAGTTAATTTAATTTAATTTATAGTTATTTGTATTGTACTATAAATAATTTTATTAATATATTTTTAATTATTTATTAATCATGCACTTTCTATAAAATTATATGTGAGATGCAATTATTATATTTTTATGCATAAGAAAAATGTGAGAATTGCATATATGTATATATAGTAATATATAATTGTTACGTACGAAATTTAGAATTAGGTTAAAAGCCCAAGGTAAAACGAGGAATGGGCCTGGCAATAGGGTTGATTGAACTGGCTGAAGGACACCGTGAGGAAATCAAGGAAAATAAATTTATTTATTTATTTCTAAGAAAAATTCAGGACGGAAGGTCTTCAGGTCGGGAGGCCCTCAAGATGAAAGACCTCAAGTCGGACGGTCTTCAGGTCGGGAGATCCGCAAGACTGAAAGACCTCAAGTCGGACGGTCTTCAGGTCGGGAGGTCCGCAAGACGGAAAGACCTCAAGTCGGAAGGTCTTCAGGTCGAGAGGTCCGCAAGACGGAAAGACCTCAAGTCGGAAGGTCTTCAGGTCGGGAGGCCCTCAAGATGAAAGACCTCAAGTCGGACGGTCTTCAGGTCGGGAGATCCGCAGGATGAAAGACCTCAAGTCGGAAGGTTTTCCGGTCGGGAGGTCCGCAAGACGGAAAGACCTCAAGTCGGAAGGTTTTCAGGTCGGGAGGTCCGCAAGACGGAAAGACGATGAGTCGGAAGGTTTTCAAGTCGGGAGGTCCTCGAGACGGAAAGTCGTTGAGATGGGATATCCGCAGGTCGGGTAAACTGTAGGTCGGATAGAAGGAGGAGTCGGACAAACACGGAGGCCTTTGATCAAAGACAGGGGGCGGTTGATATGGAGGTCGGCCCAAGTGGGGTCGGGCGAAGAAGTAGGTCGGACGAAGGACGAAGTCGGGCCAAAAGAGCGGAAGGTCTGTGGTCGGCTCAAGGAGTGAAATATAGGGAATTTTGGTCTGCTGGGGACACGTGTCAGCATAAGAAAGGTTGGAAGACGGTTGAGAAGGAGACGTTGTAACCGTTCGGGTGACGGTTTTCAGTACGGTTTCCCAGGGAATATTTAAGGATTTGGATCATCATTTGGCAAGGTATCTTCAATCAACTTCAACAAAGCAAAGTCAGATTTGGGGATCACCACTTTAAATTTCAGTCTTTTAATTTCCAGTTTAGTTTCTGTACGTTACAGTGTTTAGAGATTCCTAATCTCAGGCACTAATTAATCAAGTTTAAGGATATTTTCTATATCTTTGAATTTTACTTTATTTTTGTTG